TCTCTCAAAGGATCTGCCAGAACCTCATCTAGGTACATTCTGAATTAACACACTCGACAAGCCATCTCGCTGCCTGGCTGATCAAACTATCCATCTCTGCAGATGTCAGTGATTCCTGTCCCGGACCTGTACCAGAACCAGTTCATAATTACTCTGTATGTTTTTCAATAAACTCTGTTAAACTTTTACTCAGCCTCCTGTGGTGTTCTGCATGTGGGTTCAGCCTCTTAAGCCTATCATGACATGTACTTTGTTACTTTTACTTGAGTAAAGAAGTTTAATCAGCACTTCCACTTTTACCAGAGTATTTTTTAACGCAAGTATCTGTACTTTTACTCAAGTACGGAAAGTGAGTACTTTTGCCATCTCTGATGACAGGGTAGCCCTGTGGCTCGCTGTGCTCCGTGGTTTTCCTTCAAGACTGACAGTGATTGTTTTCTACTTTAGATCGCTGAGGAAACCTGAGATAATAGCAAATATAGGCAATTATATGTTGAAACTCTGGAAGAGATCTGATTCTTATGAAACGGGAACAATGCAGTTTGTCTGAGTGGAGTTGCCGTATTGTGATGATAATTTTCCTTTGTTAGGCGAGTTTTTGCAGAGCAGCATGACAGTCTCAAGGTAATTTGATTAAATAACATTTAATATCAACAGTATTTAACAGTACATATACTCAGCTGATATGCACGATGGCATTCTACCGCTGCTTCTCCCCCCCACTAACAGGCCGTCCATCATTCAGCGGCGGGGTTTGTGTTTCCCTGACCACAAGAAGCAATCCTCCAGATGTGTCAAAGTTTGAACGGGGGGGAGAATCAGACGATGTGCAGTTGCCAGCGTTTCAAGGTAAAAGAAATGTGTGATGGGGGGTCAGATGTGAACGGTTCTACGATGATCCCCTCTACTGTCCAAACATGGAGCTTAATGTTCAATCAATGGCTGATGGTAATGAACGGGAGCTTCTGCTGAGGATTTGTTTGGACGCTTCCAGCTGTACATCTGGGGGTTCAGGCTGCATTAAACTGGGATTTACAGCACAGATTGATTATCTATACGGGATGAAAGCAGCACAGTTCCACGAGTCATGGAGCGTACTGTAGATGATTGAAGGACACCAGAGTTCCCATTGATCCCACTGAGCAGAGACTCCTCTGAAGCAAACACTCACCGTGGTGTATTTGCCCAGCTGGCAGAGGGACGGGAAGGTTTCTTGATGAGCTTTACGGATCTTCTCGATGATGGTCTCCAGCTCAGCCGTCAGCTCGTAGCTCTCTGACAGGTCTGGCTTCGGACTTTCCTTCTTCTTCTTATTCCGATCATTTCGAACCGCTGCAGGAGAACAAATTAATATCTTTCAGATTATTGTGGAGACTTTTATCACCACAGCTTGGAGGCTAGAGCTAACAGGAGCATTAGCATTAGCTCTATGTTTGATAGAAACCTGGTAAACTAGGTTGGTTTGGTTGATCTGGTTGAGTTAAATCTGAATTTCATCAGTGATTTGACACCATTTGAAGTTTTGGTCCAGTTTAAATAACAGAAGAAGGAAAACAGACCAGCACTGCCTGCAGCATGCAGACTGTTCAATATCAGGGAATTTACCAGCTGAAGTCAGATCTGACTGGGAATCATGTTTCACTGCAGGAACGTAAAGTTTCAAAGGGTGGATGATGGGACCATCCCAGCACCAGCTGTCTGGAGGGCCTCTGGTTTCTAGGAGCGTTTGGTTTTCAGAGCAGAAGCATCTCTGCGTTGTGTTGCAGAGAAAAGCTGTTTTCATTGAATAAAGGCAGGGTTGATAGTAAAGCAGGGATTTAGAAACTATCTGCATCAACTCCTGATTTCCTGATATCTGCTGATACCTGATAACAGCAGCAAGAAGCTGCATGGACAAATCTGCACTAGAGCACATCTGCCCTGGCTTTTTGGATCATTATCAGTAGTATTATAGATGCAGGTCAGTTTTCACAAGCTAACGCTAACGGCTAGTTCAAGGAGGAAAAAACATGAGACGTCAAACATCTGCTGGAAAATAAATCATGTTAAGCTAAAGGAGGAAGAAAACCTAAACTGAGAGTGTTTCTGGAAACTGCCCTGACTGCAATTTTTGGTTCTGTTTAAGCTTTTTTGTTTTGTTTTCAGTTATACTTTCATTTGTGTCTTTCTGTGTTTTATAGTTTGTTGGTTTTATTCCCATTTTGTGTTATTCTAGTTATTTTTTATTGTAATTGAGTTCTCAGGTATTGTTTGCCCTCTTGTGTCAGTCTCCTTTCACCCAACCTGGTTGACAGAAACCTAAATATTGTCATCATTGTTCCTCAGTGAAAATGATCATATTCAAATGTCTATGTGTTTGATTAACTTCATGAAAAATTCTGTCTTTCCAAATACTCAACATGTCTTTGACTTTGTAAACCCTTGAGTCATCCTATTTGGTCGAATTAGAATAAGCTGTTGGTAATCTGTGATTCAATCAAAGCTGAATTGTCTCTTTCCTGCTGAACCAATTGAAGCTCTGGTTCAATTAAATGAAAAAAATCAGCTGATATGTGAACTTTGTTTGTTCCTTCTGCATGTAAATAAATGTGCAAAATAAATGGTGAATCTCGTCAGACCTGATGACCACACCATGTCCTGAACCAAGGAACCAATCCAAAGTCCGGACGATCCACGGCATGCTGGGTGATAAGATGGGGGCGGTGAGAGGGTGGCAGTGGAAACACAAGCTGGCAATTTAGGAAGACAGCAGCTGGGGTAATATATCCCCCTCCCTCACCAGGGCCAATCCATTACTTCTGCTCTTCAAGCAGATTACTGAGGGTGAGCAGATCAATCCGGATGATGCATTGAACATGAGAACGAATGGCTTTTTAACACTGTCTGCAGGGCAGGGAGAGAAACCACGGAGCAAATGCAGGGCTGCCTTCACTACTTCCACACACAGAGAAAAGTTCATGTTTGGTTCCAGGAATATGAGTTTCATTAATAAATGCTGCCTTTAAAGAGCCGTCAGTGTTATGGCAACGCCTCTAAATCTCAGCCCTGCTCTTATGTAATGAATTTAGCTTATTAATGGTGTGTTTACAGTTAATATTAAACCATAAAAGGTGGGAGGAATGAAGCATGGTATTTCTCCTCAGTGTTATGCCATATGCCATGATCATGGTTTTTGGACATTGGGAACTAGTGTCCATATATCATCTTGACATGATGACCAGAGAAGGAGATGCAGTTGATGACAGATGTGGGACCTCTGCGGCCCCCCCTTTTCAGCAAAAGCAGTCACAGGCAAGTCACATTGCAACCCACTGAGGTGTGACTTCCCAGCCCCCTCTGTGTTAGGACAGCAGAAAACCAGATTCCTCCTCTTTTCCTGCTCTCTCGCCCATGAAGCTGGGGTCCTCTTTGGTAGGGTCTTGGCCAGAATGGAGATCCAGACCCCCCAAAAAAACCAAGATCTCCAGAATCATCAAGGATAAGGCATTATGGTGACCTTTCAGAACCAAACTGCTACAAAACAGACCTTTTGCAACACATTTCTCTTGAGTTTCTGAACTTATAGAGCCAGACTGGACAAGAAGGACCCCTGGTGTGAGACTGAGACAAAGAAACCTCTGGTTGCTGTGGCCTGACTGCTGAGCTGCTGGATGAAACTCAAGCTTTCCAAATGGACACGGACAAAAAGGTTTGCAGGTCTGGCATGATTAGGGACAGAACAAGCAATATATGTTTACTGATGAGTAAAGACAAAGCTAACAGGATGGACTGCATGCTACGCTATGCTACAGGAATATGTGTTGAGCTGTTGTTGAAGCTCGGAGCTTTATTTCATTAAGGGTTAAACACTGATATAACATTAGTGTTCATGTGTTCCTCAGATGCTCATTACATTTCCATTAGCAAGTCTGACCAAGAGTCATTTAGTGGAATCCTGATGTCTATTTGCTGCTAGCTATTTCAAGGAGGGTAAAGAATTATTTAACTAAAGGTTATTGGTTCTTGATTAAGCAAATCTTTTAATAATTAATTATTTGGCCAAATAATGTTTTATTCACGCATTGTGAATTGGTCTGAAAACATTCCTATTTCTTTAAATTAGTGAAAAGCTAAATTGATCAGATCCCAAATTCTTCCAGATAAACTTTGGTTTCAAACTCAAAATTCATCTTAAACTGTAATATGTTTTTCAACAGTTTTCCACTTCCTCTTTGTAAATAGTAGTTTAGTTTAGTTGAGTTTTACTAGTTTTAATTAATAGTTTTAAACTGAAATATGTTTGACTTGGAGCTGAATGATTTTTGTTAATAAATTCTAATATTTTGAACAGAAGTTGTGGTGAATTTATTCCATTAATGTGCAGAAATAACAGTTTGACCATGATTAGAGCTGGAATCACTCTTTCATCTATTGTTCTAACACACAGTTAGTAGGACTGTGTGTCATAAACAGTATATAACAGCTGAAATAATATCTGATTAAATAAGATATTTTACCCCCCCTACAGGGGAGGGCAATAAACATCTTAAAGTATCAGAAATATAAATTCCCAAATTCCCAGCTCCCTGGGAATAGAATAGAATATAAATCCACAACATTAATGTAGCATCCAACCTGGATGGGTGTTGAACATAAAATCGCAACACCAGCCTTTGATGTGAATTAACTGAATAACTGAAGAGCTTCATGGATCAGAGGAGCAGCTTCTCTCCATCATTCACTTCCTCACCTTCTGAATTTGATTCATTCAGATCGTTCTCCTCTAATTATCAAGCATAATTAATGAAGATGTGGAGAAACATTGCTCT